TTATGCTGCATTCAAAGGTATGCAGCTTGTCTGGATTGGCCACTTTGATTTCTTACCATTCCCTTGTTAACATTGTAAAAAATCTTTCACCTCCCACATAAAGATCCCAAAAGTCCACACATCAGTCTTGGTTGTATAGCTACGTGTCTGAAGCGTTTCTGGAGCTAGATATCGTACGGGCACCTGACAAAGAGATGGTATGAGGAAAATTTGTACGATCGATTTGAGCTTCAGCTTCCATTAGCTTTGAGGCATTGTTCAGCGTTCTTACCTTTTTCAGCGTCTTCTCTTTTTTTTGCACTCCAAGTACACTAAGTCCGAAATCGGATATTTTAGCTGTATGATTCTTGCCAATAAGTGTGTTTCGAGCAGCAATATCTCTATGTATAATCTGCAATTTGATTATAAGTACACTAAATATTCAAATGAAACTCATTTACAAAAGACGCAGATAAAAGCCGACCCCTTTTCCTGACAAGTAAGTCAAGCCCAATGCAGCTCCATGACAATATTTTATTCTTATATACACCGTTGGACCTGGCTTGGATTGAACGGCGTCAAGGACAGAACCTCCTAAACTGAAATTATTGAAGTTCGCACTTACGACCTAAAGAAATTATGCGAGTGTGGCTATCCGACATTTTGTGTGACTGGAGTTCCTAACTAACTATTATCAGCAGAGTACTTATATGATCATACATCCATAGCCAGAAGCTCCAGTTGAACTCTAGCTCAAACCGTACTCTCTGCCTGCTCGTGGACGGTGATTAGTCCGTAAGAAAAAACGTTCTGGAGTTTTGGAGATGCATTCCCCGACCACGAACAGATTGAATGAATCATATGAGCTCTCGAAGGACCACTAAGTAAATGTCTTCCAGTAAGTATACACGAAAGGTACCAAGATTTTTCTGATACTGCCGAGAACTATACTGAAACAGCAAATCGAATAACCTGGAGCAAGTTCCATAACTATCATGACAGGCTCTTCATTCGATGCTACGCCAATCAACAATATGACATTTGGGTGCACAAGTGTTTTCATGAGCATTGCCTCCTTAAATTTTGATAACAATGATGGAAAGGAACCCTATAGACGGAAC